TTTAGACCACATACTTACTGATGAGCAAAATGTTGTATCTCTTTGTGTTTGCATGTTTTTTTTTGTTTGTTTTTTGTTTTTTGGTTGTTTTTTTTTTTCCTTTTTCAGAAGGGCCTGAGACATTATCAAGATGGTAAAAAGACATCCCTATGGCACAGAGTGATAAACTGATTCTCAGAAGAATTGAGGGTCCTACCCTAGCTCTCTTAACTTGGCATCAACAAGCTGAAGAGTTTCCAAGGGGCCTCAGTCAGTCTCGGAGGTCTGGAGCAGCCCAAGAGTCAACACAGAGGCCCGAGAGCAAGCTTCTGACTAAGGCTATAGCTGTCCCTAGAGAGCTTTACCAGAAGAACACCTGTTTTCAGCTCTGGGAGCAGATGTTATAAGAGCTGAGCCAAACATGAATGACTGTCAGGAGGAGGGACCATGGAGAAAAGAGAGACAGGGGCACAAGATGGCTTGGCAGGTAAGGCACAGGCCACTAAACCCTATGATCTGAGTTTGGTCCTGGGGTCTCATCCAGTGGAAGGAGATAACTGACTCTCACAAGCTATGACATGTGCATGCCCACACACATATACACATAAAATAGATAAATAAATGTTTTTAAAAGCTTAAGAAGGGAGAGAATCAAGAAGGGGAGAAACAGGTAAAAGAATGCTTCTGCTTTGATCACCTCCCCCTGAGGGGGGAGCAGCCTTACCAGGCCACAGAAGAAGACAGTGCAGCCATTCCTGATGTGATCTGATAGACTAAGATCAGAAAGAAGGAAAGGAGGACCTCCCCTATTAGTGGACGTGGGGAGGAGCATGCATGAAGAAAGGGGCGGTAGGGTGGGATCGGGAGGGGAGGAGAGAGGGGCTTATGGGGGGATACAAAATGAATAAAGTGTAATTAATAATAATAACAATAATAAAAAAGAAAAAAAAAGAAATATTCGAAAAAAAAAAAAAAAAAAGAAAGAATGCTTCTGGACCTGCATCAGAGCCTGAGGGATCCTTTGAGGGGTAGCTATGGAGAGATAAACCTGGGCCATGGTTCTTGATGCTTTGGGGTCAGCCCCGGGAGCCAGGAAAGACACCTTTTCATGTCTCCAATATATTTTGACATCTCTGCAGTACAATTTTTAGCCCTACTATATGAATGGGGAAACATCCAGAGATAAACAGTAAACAACCAATGACCAATGACCAGCAGCTAGAGAAAGAGGCAGGAGCAGAGCACAGGACCAGAATTCTAGTCTTGATGTTGTGTCACAGATCCTCTTTCTTTAGAACTAGGCCTGCAAGGCAGGATTGCCACGGGGCTGGGTACCGGTAGGAAATCTGGAAGTACTGATTACAGCTTCTTGTGATGAGACAGGCACAGTGATCGCAGCTACTATCTTCTAGGTCCTTTCTGTCATATCCGTTTAGGGTAATAACATCTGTGTATTGCTGTTTTAAGACAGGATCTTTTACAGCTCAGGCTAACCTCGAACTCCTGACCTGCCTGCCTCAACCTTCCAAGTGCTAGGCTTACAGGCATGTGCAGCACCACACCTGGGTGACATGTCAATCCTATGCTTTTATCCACTCCAAACTCTGGGCCTCTGCAGAGGAGGAAGGGGCTGGCTGCGGGGGGAGGGAGGGGACAGGGTTGTGGGACAAGTGGCCTAGCACACTGTGTAGGCTTTGATGTGGCTATGCTAGCTGGTCTCGGCCGGTCACTCCTGGGTCAGGCCAATGCTCAGTCTGAATCTGTTTCCACATGGATTGTGACAAGGAGAGAGGTGTGTTTGCTCTGTCACATGCGCACACAAACAGCTTCCTCAGCACTTTTATTAATAATTCATCCTGCAGCCTGGTGGGTGGGGGTGAGGGGACAGGAGCTGTAGGGAGGCAGCATGCCAGGGAAGAGGCTGGTGGACCCAGGAGCCCTGCCTCCATGCTGTGGCCTAGCAACATAGCCAGGTGGCTTCGGGGGCCCTGTTTGGGAGAGTGAAGGCCTGGCATCTGCTCCAGAGGGACGTTTGTCCCTCCCTACTCCTACTCCCAGCCTACAGCTGACCCAGGACACCTGATTTCAATGACTGTGCCATATGGGAGACAGGCCTGAGGGGTTCAAGGCATGCAGCAAGCCAGTCCTTCGGGAAGCAGGTTCTCTAAATGCTTCCTGCTACGTCATGGAACCCAGGACATAGGGTCCCAGCAGGCAGCATCATGGAAGGAGAGGGCCTCTCCTGAACCCCCTCCCAGGCCCCTCCAGATGTCCAGATACTCTTCTAAGAGTCAGGGCCTGAGGGCAGGGTGGGGGCAATTCACAGCCACCTGGGTCCTTTGTCCAAGGACCTGAGCTCTCTGGCAGACTCCATTCCCTGCCACCTCCCAACCCTTGCAAGTGCCTAGAAGGCAGGAACTGCTGGTTGGCTGGGCTCTCAGGAGGCTCCAGCAGGAGCAAGTAGCCCTCAAATGTAGCAGAATGGTTTGAGGTTAGATTTCTTCTGAAATGACTTGTTCAACAAGCAAAACATGAGAATGGAGAGTATGCAGCATCTCTCTTAAGGATAAACAACAACAATAGGATTCAATATCAAGAATAAAATAGATGTTTCTAGCATCATTAATGGTATCAGTACATTTAATCTTATAGTAATCAAAGAAATAAGAATTGTTATCCTCATTATGTAGAATGAAGAAACCAAAGCCCTGAGACATATGCCTGTGCAGGCTAAATGCAGCTGTGAATGGCAGAGCCACATGAATCTATTTCTTCTTCCTTCCAATGCCTCTGCTTCTCCTAAGCAAAGTGCCTGAGACCCCACAGAAAAAAGGGTTTTCAAAGTCTTAGGGGGTTGAAGATTTAGTTCAGTGGTAGAGTGCTTCCATAGCAAGCACAGGCCCTGGGCTCAGTCCCCAGTATTAAAAAAATAAAAATAAAAAAGAAAGAAACCAAAACCCACAATGCCCTGGAGCCTTGTTCTGTACAAAGAGATCTCATGAGGTTTTATCTAGCATGTCTGGGGGACTGTCCATCTCGAATGTTTGGGAGTAGCAGCTATCTCATGCCTGCTGAGAGAATGCGGTGAGTTTTATTTTTATAAGGGAGAGACTGCAAGTCCTGGGATGGGAACAAATAGAAGGATCTATTCACGAATTTCAGAATGGCAGCCACAAATCTGGGGTTTAAACCAAGGACTACTCCAGGTTCCCTAGCAGCTCCCTGGGCTGTGAGCTTCCAGGGCATCTGGCTCCCTGGGTCTCCTCTAGGGACCTGACTCTCACCGTTTGTCACCTGAGGAGGTGGTCTGTGTCATCTCTGCAATGTCCTCTTCATCAGCTGAGAAACTGGGAGCTTCCAGATGCCCAGCAAAAGACCTGTCAAGTTGCAATGGCAAAGGATTATGCTGTTCTCCTCTCCTCCCTCTCAGCAGGAGGGAGGGATCAGGAGTAAGAAGAAACCCTGGTGTACCTACTGATGGCTGGGGTATAGGATGGGCCACTGAGGGAGGCAGCTGGATCTGACAGGTGGAGGGAGTGAACACTAGAGACCCTAGAACCCCAGTTTGGGGTTCCTGGCGTGGCTTCCTAGGATTTGCTGGGCCCTCGAAGTAGGCTATGGCTAGCTCCTGAATTCTTGGCTGCATGTGGATGGCTGCAAGATGTGGGACAAAACTGCCCTTGACCATAGATAGGGTGAGATTCTGGCCACTGGGAAATTATAGGCCCTAACCCCCATCCACCTTCCCGCCCCCATCCACCGCCCTGCTTCCACTTTTAATTAGAATATTCAATCCCAGGAAATATGTTCTCCACCAGAACCATCTTAGGGAAGGTTTGATGAGGAAAATTCCTTATCTGTTTCTCAACCGGAAAAGCTGTGGGCGGAGGTAAATGTGTGTGTGTGTGTGTGTGTGTGTGTGTGTGTGTGTGTGTGTGTG